ACTGAGGAAGATGGGGCTGCAACATGGCCCGACCTTCCAAAACATGGTCGACATCCAAGCCAGCGATTCTGGATCGAGGTTCCAGTTCAAGGTGGCGGATGTGAAATCCTCAAGCAGCCATCTTCTCCACCCTACCACACTGGATTCCATCTTTCAAGGAGCTTATTCCGCACTCTCTCCCAAGGCATTCCAGAATTCGATGGTGATGCCTCGAGCCATCCAGCACATATACGTGTCGCAGTCCATCGTCTCGACTCCAAATTCCAAGTTCGAGTCGCTTGCAACAATGGATCGTTGCGACAAGTCGGGCTTCCGATCTTCAATAATCACTCGTGATCACAGCAATCCGGAAGCCACAAGTTTGGAAGTCAAGGGTCTCTTTTGCCAGGCAGTAGGCGGTGGAGGGCTAGATCAGCAAGATCAAAACCCGTCTAAGCTACTTTTCAAGATGCATTGGCATCCCGACTTTTCTCTCATATCAACTGATCAGCTAAAGGCGGAACTCAAATTCGATGTTGATCCATCTGAGCTGTCAATCAACAAGAGGCTTGTCAAGGCAGCGTGGTATTTCATACAAGACGCCATAAAAGATCTGGGCTCCGACAAGACTTCCCTAAGAGAAATGGAATGGTATCACAAGTCGCTTTATGATTGGATGGAAGGCAACTACAAATCCGGACTTGATGGAACGCTCGCTCGCGGAAGCGCTTCATGGGACAAAGCAAGTCAAGGCATGCGCCACATGCTCTTCGATGAAGTTGCCTCCCAGAGCGTTAATGGACGTCTTTTGTGTCGCGTAGGAAAGAACCTGTCTCGTATTCTCAGAAAGCAGGTTGCTCCATTAGAGGTGATGATGGAAGGCAACCTGCTGTATGAATTTTACGAGAAGGCTCTCAGATGCAACAGGTCTTACGAGCAGGTTCAGAAGCTGGTGCATATGCACTCAATGAAGCATCCTCGCGCTAATGTTCTTGAAATTGGAGGAGGCACCGGTGGATGCACTCGATCAGTACTCAACGGCCTGTCTGAAGGCACCCCTGATCACCGACGTCGCTTCTCATCATACACGTTCACTGATGTCTCTACCGGGTTTTTCGAAGCTGCGGCGAAAAATTTTGAAGACTATGGAGACATGATCACCTTCCGGAAACTTGACATCGAAATTGATCCCGTGGAGCAGTCCTTCGAGGCAGGCTTGTATGATCTTATTGTCGCATGTCAAGTTCTCCATGCTACCAAGAATATGGAGAAGACGATGAGGAATGTTCGTAAACTCTTGAAGAAGGGCGGGCAGCTCATTCTGGTTGAGACCACGAAAGACACGCTGGATGTACAGCTGATTTTTGGAGCACTTCCTGGCTGGTGGCTAGCTGAAGAAGCCGAGCGCAAGGGTGGACCTAACCTCACTCTCGATCACTGGGGACGGGTTCTTGCCAACACTGGATTCAGTGGAATTGATTTGGAGGTGAAGGACATGGAGGATCAAGCGAATTACTCCTTCAGTGTCATGACCTCGACTGCGATCGCGCCAACGACGTTTCCTTCTGAAGTCTTCCTACTGAGCCCAGCCGAATCAGTCCCTATCAACTGGATACGGGACTTGGAGTGTCAAATTCAGTCTAAGACCGGCACCAGTTGCAACACCACAGACTGGAGATCAGTTGATGCTACCGACAAAGTCTGCATCATGCTTGAAGAAGCAGTTGCACCCCTCCTAAGACGGCTGAGCCGTGAAGAATTCACTTGTGTTCAGAGACTCTTGACAGCCGCTCGGGGCGTACTGTGGGTTACAAGAGGTAGTCTTATCGAGGGAGCTGACCCTGATATGGCTTTGCACTCTGGACTACTTCGTACCCTCAGAATGGAAGATGCCGGACGCCGATACATCTCCCTCGATCTAGAGACTACTGAGCCCCTGTGGTCCGCAAAGAACGCCCAACTAATTGGGAATGTCTTCAAAGCTTCCTTTGACTTTTCTCTCAGCTCATACGAGATCGATTGCGAATACGCGGTCAAGGACTCTATCCTGCACATGGCGCGTATATATAATGACGACTCAGGTAACATGGCATTAACGCCCGAATCTGCTGAGCAAGAGCCTGAACTCAGACCATTTGGCACCAGCGGTGAAGGCTCGAATCTACAAATGGAAGTTGGTACGCCTGGCCTCCTAAACTCCTTGCACTTCAGGGAAGTCAAGCTTCAAGACTTGGATACGGACCAGATTGAGATCGAGCCTCGCGCATTTGGCCTCAACTTTAGGGATGTTTTAGTGGCGCTTGGTCAACTAGACGAAACCATCATGGGTTATGAGTGCAGTGGCATCGTCACTAAGATGGGCCCGGAGGCGGAGCAGAAGAGCGGGTTGAAGATTGGAGACCGAGTCTGTGCCATCTTACGCGGACATTGGGCGTCAAGAGTCTGTATCAATTGGCCCTGTGCTGCTCGTGTCCCAGACAGCATGTCATTCGAGGAAGCGGCGACGATTCCTATGGTTTTCGCCACGGCATATCATGGGCTCTTTGACATTGGCCGACTTTCAAAGGGAGAATCCGTTCTCATCCATGCAGCGACGGGAGGTGTTGGCCAGGCTGCTGTGATGCTTGCCAAGCAACGGGGTGCTGAAGTTTTCGTCACGGTTGGAACCGAGGCCAAACGCGACTTTATCATGAAAGAGTTAGGCATTCCGCAGGACCATATTTTCTCCAGTAGAGACACGTCTTTTGGCCCTGCTCTGATGGCCGCCACAAACGGCAAAGGCGTCGATGCTGTGCTGAACTCCCTGGCTGGGCCGTTGCTCAAAGAGAGTTGGAACTGCATGGCAAGGTTTGGTCGTTTCATCGAGATTGGGAAGAGAGACATAGAATCGGCCAAGAACCTAGACATGAGCCCCCTCCGGCGCGCAGCGACCTTTGCCGCAGTCGACCTATTTCAGCTGGGCAAGTTCAAGGGTCACGTTGTTCAGAATGCTCTCCAGTATGTCATGGAGATGTTCAGTCGAAAAGATCTACGGGTGGTTACTCCCATGACCACTTTCCCTATGTCAGAAGTTGACAAGGCTTTCCGATTGATGCAAAGCGGAAAACACCTTGGGAAGATCGTAGTTCAACCACGACAGACACATCTAGTGAAGGTAAGAGACTCACTCATCCATCCTTTGACCAATTGCTGATTTTGGGAACAGGTCATTCCTTCCCCAATGCCAGCTCAACTACTAGAAAAAGCAACTTACCTTATTGCCGGTGGTATGGGTGGCATTGGTCAATCTATTGCGCGCTGGATGGCTCGGGACCTTGGCTGCAAGAGCCTCATCATCCTCTCCCGTAATGCGCGTACGCATCCAGGATGCGCGGCTCTGATCTCCGAACTTGAGACGAATGGTTGCAGAGCAATCGTCCGGAATTGTGACGTCTCTAACGAAGATGATTTCCGCCGAGTCATTCACGAAGCTGGCCGAAGCTTTCCACCCGTTCGGGGGGTGATCCAGGCTGCTATGACTTTGGATGTGAGTCTGCATAGCAACCCTCCTGTCAAAAGTCAGAATATTGACTCAACACCCACCAGGACTCGATTTTCCCCAATATGACATATGAGCAATGGCAAGCTGCAACAGGCCCTAAGATTGCAGCCACGTGGAATATGCATAATCACCTTCCGGATCTTGACTTTTTCATTTTACTTTCGTCCCTGACAGGACTCGGAGGTAACACCAGTCAAGCCAATTACTCGGCCGGAGGAACATTTCAAGATGCTTTTGCGAAGTACCGCACATCGAAGGGCCTTCCCGGAGTTTCAATCGATCTGGCCAGTATTCAAGAGGTCGGGTTCGTTGCCAACACTGAGGGAGTTGCAGAACGCCTGACCAAGACCGGCCTAGCTGATATCGATGAGGTCAACCTACTCAAGATCATTGAGACAGCTATTCAGAAGCCCAGTCGGCCTGTCGACCTTAGTCAGCTTATCACAGGCATTGTCGATTTTGATGAGACTTCCACGGTCGCCTGGGTAAACGACACTCGTTTCTCATCTCTCTGCGCCAATCACAGCAACCAGAGCGGCACGCATAGACGGACAGACCGCAAAGGTGGGACAGCAACGCGGCTATCTGACTCGTTGCAGTCAGCGACCAGCGGCACAAGCGCGGTGGCCCTCATCTTGGACGCTGTGATATCGAAGCTATCTGAAATGTTTGGGTTGGATGCTGCCGAGATCGACAAGAAGCACCCCGTTTCCAGATACGGCGTTGACTCGCTGATCGCTGTGGAATTGCGCAATTGGCTCGTGTCTAGCGCGGGCGCCGAAACGACAAGCATTTTTGACGTGTTGCACAGCCCGAGTCTAAGCGTCCTGGCTGAAAAGATTGGAGAAAAGAGTCGCTTTGTTTCAACTCTAGTCAAGACCACATAGAGTTTGCTGCCGTTTTTTCCGTAGAGTGTTCATATGTACAAATTGAGCTTCGTGGCACATTGTACAGTTCCATTGCATTTGTTCGTATGTTGTTGAATGAAAATGTTGAAGCCAGCAAACCCCGCTGCCGGCGGGATAACAATGTGATTACGACGCGAAGCTAGAGGGCATGCAAACGTGCCGTTCACCTGCCGGCCGATGTGATAAATATCATGCTATTGAAGCTCGCCAGTAATGCCCACAAAAGATAACTCGTGACCCTTAATTCCGCAGCTCACATCCATGTGGAAGCCTGCAAACAAGAACTCTACCATCCGGCTGGGGCATCTGAACACAGTCCCGATCCCTGTCTGCGTCTGAGTTCTGGGCTAGGGCAGATGAGTTTGAGGAGAAAGTTGGACGCAAAGTAACGGAAGTCTCGCACATTCCTATTGAACTCAGGGGGCAGCTCTTTTGTCTGGTTAACCTTGCCTCCGGCGGTTGACTTCCGAGTTATTTCTACCTTAAGCACTACAGTAGCGAACATGGAAGTGACCAAACCATCCGATGACTATTCAAGTTTATTGCCTACTTCACCTTACATGTAAGCAGGTTCATACATTAGTCCGGTAACTTTCACACTGCATCAACATGGTCCTCATACACTGAATTTTCCTCTCCGCTCCCAGCAACGGCGCCAAGTGCGCCTTTCTTGTTCCCACTCTAGCTTTGATTTTTCCAATGAGTTGACAGAACTCGGTGAGCTGTCCGGTGACGAGGCACTTCAGAACCTGGTTCTTCTCCACTGGGCTCTCGATTTTGTATGACTGGAACCACATAGAATCTCCAGTAAGCTGAGAGTTACCCGACTGCAATTTCTGAACAACGTCCACGTATGAGCGGACAGTCTTTTCGCAGATGTTGCTGAGATATTGTCCAGCCATGGCGAGTAGCATCATACTTTCTGATCGAGACTTGCATAGGGTGCAACTCAAGATTGAGTCACAACCCTTGATCGCTTCTCGGCAGCAATTGAGAAGCACATCCACAGTAGCGATTTCCGTGTTGGCGCCTTCGTTACCAAGCTGCTCAAGTAAATGTGCAGCAAGCCTCAAACAGCGGCATTCGCTCTTCTTCTTGACCGCAAGATCTGAACCCTCAAGCAACGCAGTCATTGGGCTCGTTGCAGGCGCCGCCATATTATAAGCCACTGGGGTTGACTTGCGACTGGGTTGTATCTTGGCGGAGGTTGGTTGATCAACTGGGGAAACCATGAGATTTGATGGGAAATTCTCATCAAGCAAGAGGTCAAGACTTGATGATGAAAGCCCTGGCGTTGACGACGAGTCATCCAAGACTTCGTTGCCGTCTAATGACATTTGAGTCAATTAGAATGCCTAACAGATACTTGCAAAACAGGAGAGGAAACCACGTACCATTCATTTCAAAGTCAAGCTGAGTCTCCTGGGAACTGATTCCGTCCTCGCCACTATCGTCGGCTGGATCGAAGTATGCGGTATCTTTCTCTAGCTCCTGCCATGGGCCGGTGAAATCTCCACTCTTCAGATTCGCCACATCAATCGTTGTATTCGGTGACAGCAGGCTGCATGATGCCAGCCAGTGATCAATTTGATCTTGTTCTTGTTTCGCGTGCTGTGCATTTCCAGTTTCTTCCATAGTCTCGTTCTGACTGATACTCGTTATGTCAAACGTAGGACTTGGTAAAATGCTTCGTCGTTGGAGGTTGCCCAGTTCGGTCAGTACTTCTGAGGCTTCCTGGTCCGTCGTGAATACTAATGACGGACCCAAGTCGAACTTTTCTGAGTATGAAGGCGATTGAGGTGCCGCTGAGCTGTCGAAAGAAGACTGCCGGGTCTTCGATACCTCCTTGGTCGAAGAAGTTGATTGCTTTCGTTTTCGAACGGTATTTCTGTTGGTTGGGTACTTGCAAGTGTTGGAGCTTGATTTACACCTATCGCACCCATTCGGGTCTCCGTTGCACCGAAGCTGTGTTAACGCTTGAATATCAGTATATAGAATTGATATTTTTTCAAAAACTCAATGCTAACAAACCTTTCGTGCTCTGCAGTATTCGCATGCGATGTGAGGTTTCCCCCGTCGATTACGATTGATGACAGCCTCGGGGTTGTTTTCTATAAACGTTGGTTCTTTGTGTTGAAGATCATACATGAGAGTTCCAAACATCTTGGCGATTTAGGTCGGAGGACACTACGGTTGTATGCAGGTTAGTATTTGGGTGAAAGTTAGAAGGTTGGTGTTCGTTGAAATGGGTAGATCTGAGACTGCTCGCTCATGGGAGATCATATTACCACATTCATCATTGTTCATCCAGTCCTACAAGTATCACACACACCGTTTTGAGGTTTTAGAGGCTTCATTAGGAAAAGGCGTGCCGAACCTGAGTACCATCCCACATGGCCCAGGGTTCACATAGATCGGATTACAACCCCAGACGGTCGAGTCCAACGTCTGAGGAAACTTTGGCAAACAAGATTTATCTCAAGTTCGCCTGCTCACATGGTGCCTAGGTGGCATCGCCCTTTTTCTTTGGGACTTCCAATGATGAGAAGGTCCTTCCACGCGATGATGGGAAGCATATTTCAACAAAGTCTAAGGTTGCAGTACAACAGTAACCGAGCGAAAAACAAGGTTTTGAAGTTTGCTCCAGCCTGCACACCGGAAAGGTGGCCGTAGTGACGTGAGTCGATTGCATTGTTCTAGACAGCCCACCATGTCGATAGAGTTGTTCTACTTATCCGGCGGAGGGTTTGAAGAAAACCCAAGTACTAAGGTGCCTTTATCATTCTCGAGCTGAAACCATGCGAATTGTCAAACTTTGCAGGGGACAGCATAGATTCTGCGGGTTGAAGTTCCGCTGTCCTTGTTGTTGCTGTTTGTATAGTTGTCGTGCAGCTATGTGAGGATCTTGTGCTCCCCTTAAGGCATGAGAGAACTCGCAAGGAGGTCACGGCTAGTAGGCCAAGGTGTCCTTCTCCGCATCGGGCCATGAGCGTTAATCTGATGCGGAGATTCAAGTCACCGTCGGCACATCCAGATAAGTCCCAGAGGTACGCGCTTAGGCTTTGCGAGGACTGGAGTTTCCATCTGAGGTACATTCTGCCCTGAGTTTAGTTTTCATCTCAGCTCGGGGAGTTGCCTAGCCTTTAGATGTTGTTACATTCAGGCGAGTCATGGTTCTTTGATGCATGAGCGAACCTAGGAGCTGACGGGAGGGTGCCATCAACTGCCAGCGTTGGCGTGCAGGTCATCTCAGCTTGTCTTTAACACATGTTCACCACGCGAGAAGACGTCGGAAGTAGGCAATCGCCTGCAAAATAGCACGTGTAGCTGCGTTCAATGGTACTTGGCTTGAGCTATCGGCGCTCTACCTCATGAAGAATATTAACTAAATTGCCCGGGTTCAAGCTACTATTCAAACAATAGTGCCACATGTGAATCTTAGGCGTGTCCCACAGCCCGAGTAGCTCGGATTGATATCTCAGGTCACAGCCAGTCTTTTTAGGAGATAGCCGAGGAGTCTCAGATGTGCATCAACAGGAACATGGCAACAAAATCACAATTCATACTCGGCGTAGCTCTAACATATGTCCAAATGGCCTCGGACCGTCGGTAAGCTTAGTGACTCTGCTGCAATATGACGTGAGGGGCAGAATAATCTTCGAGATGTGAACAATTACAATTGTGCGGGATTCTGCCCGACACAAGCCTCTAAAACGAGAAGATTGGGGAAATAACGCGGCTAAGTTAATTGTAAGCAAGGCCTCGTAAACCCAAAAGCGACACCAGGTAGCCCATGTTGTTTCAGCACGCTTGCTTCTTGTGACAGAGCGTGCAGTAGAAAACGAGACAGTAGAGTTTACGTGCCCAGATCGTTCTGAACCGCTATTCTGACCTTCTGTCAATGGCTTCGGCCCGGACTCGTAACGTTATCAAGCTTTCGGCGTTGCCCAAAGTGGCTCAGTCAAGTCCGAATCAGATCATTTTTTTCGGTTGCGAAGGCAGTGTTGTCATCGACTGGGGACGATAGGGGTGTGTGCCGGTGCAGTAAGGGCTCAGAAGCGATCAGACGGTGGAAGTTTCGACCATCTGGACATAGGTAGTTGATGTGTTGAAGGAGTCGCGCGTTTGGAGACCCTATTTGGTTACCTTGCTTGGTCTCTAGAAGAAAAGTTCCTGTTCAGTATAGCTCGAGATCAAAATCAGACTTGACAAAAGACTCTATCATTTTCAACTCCTTCATTGAACTAACGATACCAAAAAACCTAAGATGGATTCGCCGATCCTTGAGTTCCAGAGCGAGAAGCTTGGACTGCTCTCTGTGCCATGGGGCACTACGGTGCTGTTTTTTCGGGCCATATGGGGAACACTGGCTCTCTACCTTGGCCTCTTCGTAGGCAGAATGATCCTGTCCAGCTTCAGCGAAGTTCCAATGACGACTTACATTACTTCTAGGGCGTAGCAAGTCCAATCATCTTGGCTCTTTACAACTACTATCTTCATCCCATTGCACATGTGAAAGGACCATTCATCGCGTCAATATCTCCGGTATGCACGCAAAGTTGTATCTCGCTACCTTCCACTGCCTCATGTTAACGACGGTTTTAGATCTGGCTGATTCGGTCCGTATCAGGACATCGACTCAATAACGACATCGAAAAGGTGCACGCCGAATACGGTAATTCAGCAGGCTTATGCATAGCTTCCCGAGCTCTGCTAATCGTTGTGCCCCCAGGACCTGTCGTTCGTATCGGCCCCAACGAACTTTCGTTTGCCACAGAAGATGCGCTCAAGACTATTCACAACCCTGGCCCCGACGGTGGTCACTTTACGAAGCAGGGGACTATTGAATCTCTGCTGGCCAAACTCATTTGGGCAGCTCCAAATCTTTTGACCACCACCGATCGAACTGCGCACAAGAGACTGCGTACCGCATTACAGCCAGCCTTCACAGCCAAGGCGTTGATGGAGCAGGAAGATATCGTTCAGCACCACGTGAATCGGGCCGTCGAGTCTCTAGATTCAAAACTTCAAGAGGGCAAGATTGTGAGTATCAGTGATCATGTTGGAAAGATGATTTGGAGCATCGTTGGAGACTTGTCTTTCGGAGAGCCCCTCCTCCATGATCAAATGAGTAAGTACTAAGTAGGGACGACATGCACGCCCTTTGCTGTCCTCAAGCTGATCATCTTGGTAGGCACGTACGAGAAAATGAAATACACTTATGGGAAAGGAGCGCCACTCCTAGAACTCTTTCAATTTCTGACAGAAACGCCCATCTTCGGTGGGCTCGCAAAGCTACCGGTCATGATAGTTCCACACATTTTCCGCGTCCCCAAAAATTTCCTTCTGATGAATCAACTCAGAGGGTGAGCTAGTCGAAGTCCATTCTACGACATGAACTTAAACTCACACAATTATAGCTGCATCGAGCGCCAAGGAGGGCGCAAAGACTTTCTGACCGCCATCTTATCCGCCAAAGAATCTGCCGGATTGACTCAGCCGGAGATGTTGAGTAATTCGGCCTTATTCGCGTAAGTTTCCCCTCATTTCCTGTCGTCTCATCACCCTGTCGTCCCCGATTCTAACTGGAAACAGCATGGTTGGTTACGATACTTCCGCTACAACTCTATCAGCAGTCTTTTACCACGTGTTGCGGGACCCAGACCACTACCAGCGGGTTCAGGGAGAAGTCCGAGAAGCATATTCCTCAATCTCTGACATCACGGCTCAGAGTGTTCTCCGACTCCCATATTTGAATGCCTGCATCCAAGAAACGCTCCGTCTCACGCCACCGATCAACGGTCGTGGCTCTCATCGCATCTCACCTGGAGCTATGATTGATGGGCTGTACGTTCCCAAAGGTGTCAATGTCTCTGCTGATATTTGGACTATTCAGCGTAAGCCCGAGTATTGGGCTCTCGCTGACAAGTTTAGGCCTGATCGTTGGCTTGACAATGGTCCGGGCACCATCTTTGAGCACGATGTTCGGACCAGCTACCGGCCGTTCCTCGTTGGACCCCGGGTGTGCATTGGTCGCGAGATGGCTTTGCAGTCCATCCGTCTGACAGTAGCCAAAGTAGCATTTTCGTTTGATCTAGAAATGGCTAACAAGGATACTTTCGTGTGGGAGAGAGATGCAGGGAATGATTATGTCTGGCATGACTATCATGTCTTGGTGAGGAAAATGGCACATTAAGAGTTCTACAAAAAGCTTGGTGGCATTAAGATGTCGTCAAATTCAACCTATAGAGAGAAGTCCTTCAGTCCCTTGATAGTTCCATCAATACCAAGTTCCTCCTTCTCATCCGGACCCAGTAAGCCCAACGCCTCACGTCGGCTTAGTGCTGCAGAGTCGAAATACGGCTTTTCGGCAAGAGATGTTACACGAGTTCCATGACGAGGGTGATTGCCCTCATAGTCCCAGCTGGCGTTGTGGATAGTGATTCTAGAGAATGTTACTTAGCCATCGTCTTGCGCCATCATCCGGCCTTGAGAATGTACGCACCTGTTATCCCAAAGGGCACTGGTGTTGGGAGTCCACTTGAAGCGGACTTGAATATCGACATTCTTCTCATACACATCAAAGAGGTAGTTCAAGATGACATCACTCTCAGCTTTGTCGAGACCGATAATATGAGTGGTAAAGAGACGGTTCACGTAAAGAGACTTCCATCCCGTCGCAGGATGGACGCGGACAAGAGGGTGCGCTCGCTCAATGTGCTTCGGTCCAGCCTCGGGGTCGTTGCGGTCCAGGTACGTGTGAGCGGAGCGATAGACGGCATATTTGCCATCGATGATCTTGCGGAAGTCAGGCGAGAGCTTCTCGTAGGCCGAGTATCCGCTGGCCCAAAGGGTGTCACCGCCAATGGGCGGGACGGCATCATTGTGCAGGTGAGTGATACCGGATGGCTGACGTTCGTGGACTAGATCCGTGTGCCATTTCGAAGCTCCGCCGGGGTTACGGAAGTTTGCTTTTCTCTCGGTGGCCATCAACGCTGGCCAGATTACTGTGACACCCAAGACGCCAGGGACTTGTGGAACTTGGGGCTATCGAGACACTTAGCTCAATCACATGCCCCCCCTGCAAATAGAGCCGGACTAAAGTTATCATGACTTACATGAACTTCAACTTCACCATACCAGTCTCCCAACTCTTTCTGCTGTTGAGGCGACAGATCCTGGTCCCTGAAGAACACAACACTGCGCTCAGCAATGAGCAGCGCAAGCTCATCCTTTTGCTCGGGTGTAAGGTCCTTCAGCTGCAGGCCTTCAATCTCCGTACCAATGTGAGCCGTCAGATTAGTGACTTTCGTCGCCGCACCGAACAGGTTCTTCTTGGACTTGTCGGCCCTTGAGCCGGCGTCGACGTACTCCCTCTCCTTGTTGCGGATGTTGTATGCATCATCCAGATACAGAGGCCGCGAAGGGCGATACGGGTACCCGTTTGACAAGTCAACTCCAGCCTTGGTTAGTCTTGCCTTTGTGGTTTCGGGGAGCCCGAGGGTGTCTTTTCGCGGCTCCGCTACGTCGGTGATTGATGGGTCGATGGGGGCGGGAACCATTGTGATCTTATTGAGAGATGCGGAGATGCGGTTCGATTCAGGAAATGGATGTGATGTCAAGTCTTTGCAAATGATAGATTGGTTAGCAGCTGCTTTTAGTATGAGCTGAAACGCATAGGCTCAGGCTGCCTTTTAAGTCTTGTAAATCACGGCTTCTAATACGACGCGTTTCCCCAGGTCCGGTTCCACGGGACCTCCTCATCTGATCACGTTAACCAACAATACCATGATTACCAATAATCGCGGGGTCAATGGTGCTTTAAGCAGAGGTTATCTATGGCTTCATCTGCATCAAATGTGACGAATCCAGAACCAGATGCGTAGCATCGAACCACCGCGCCACGGAACTCGGGGAGTAAATTCTCCAACCAAAATCGGCCGTCAGCACGCGATCAACGTCCAAACTCTCCAGAAGCTCGATGATAGGAATCTAGCCAAAGATGATGGAGGGTTTAATCAGCCAGTTGTTGGCTCGACGATTCGCCCTACCCTCCCCCGCGGAAGCGGATCCGGGGCGCATCGGCGGCGGCGGCGCACTCGAGTGGGGGTTACGCGATACAAGGGCCCGATTGTGTGCTCGTCAACCAACATCAGCCCAATCCCCTTTAAGAGATCATCATCCGAAGAAATCGAGTTGGAAGGGCTGGACTCGTGCGGGGGAAACGAAATGCTAAAGTGCGAGTGTAAGCTTCCAATTTCCCAACTCCGTGTTCCCCTCAATCTGAAGTCCGACCCAGTTCTTAGCTGAAGTACTTAATTCACCTGCCCAGAAGAAAGCTTTGTGCGAAGCTTCTGATCGACGGGATACCAAGAGTGTCTAGAAGCGATTTCAGTTAGATAAATCTATGCGCTAGGGAACAAGCTCGGCACTCTTGGTATTAAATCCCTAGGGTCATAGGGGAAACCCGTCTAAAGTGATTTGGTTACAGTTGGTTCCGGACCGTCCCGGATAATCGATCCATCACGCAGCCTTTATCAATCTCCAGGGAATCTTCTGCACATCAATGACAGGATGTCTGTCGGATGTTGTCCGCATCAAGGATGACAGACGCGCGCTTTTGCGCCGTCGTGCCTTCAGCTGTGTCCAGCACGCCATCGTATCCAGAAACCTCGTCAGCGATATGCCCAAATCTTCCCTAGTTGCCCATGCGAGTCTGCTCCGATGTTGATCCGAAAGACCCTGAAAAACTCGAAAACGCGACGCAAGAAAATTCCGCATATTCTGCTATATAAAGTCTAGCGTTTGCATCGAATGTCGTTATTGTTCTTGATTATGTCGATCCAGGCGCGCAGCTGATCACCTACTCATCTTTTTTGGTTCTGAGACCAACCAGCTGCAAGTATGGGAGTCCCAGAGATCGAAAAGACTACGGTCGCCGACTCGCCTCGGAGCAAGTCGCCATCTTCCGTCGACGCGAGAGGGGTCCAACCAACTGTTGTTGAACTCGTGCAAGAAGAACCAAAGCTCACATGGCGGTCATATGTCTGGGATACCTTGGACAAGTCACCTGAAGAACGCAAGTTCATGTTCAAGCTTGATGCTGTCATTCTCACATTTGCAAGTCTGGGATACTTCATCAAGTAAGTTGGCTCTTACTGAACAGCTCACTATTTGTATTAACATTTCATCAGGAACCTTGATCAGATTAACATCAATAATGCCTTTGTGTCTGGCATGAAAGAAGACATGAAGCTCTTTGGTAACGAGCTCAACTACATGCAAGCCTGCTGGACCGTCGGATACGTCATTGGCGAAATTCCAAGGTTAGCACGACACCAGCTTCTATTCTTTCTCAAATTGTGGTACAAGTACTGACTCCTTTCTCCGCAGCAATATTCTTCTCACTCGCGTCCGGCCATCAATCTGGATCCCTGCCTGCGAATGCACTTGGGCCGTCCTAACAATTCTCATGATCAAATGCACAAACGTCACCCAGCTTTACGTCCTCCGGTTCTTCATCGGTCTCGCCGAGAGCACATTCTACCCAGGCATGCAGTACATCATCGGATGCTGGTACAGAAAAGACGAACTTGCCAAGCGATCCTGCCTTTTTCACTCCGCGGGCTCCATCGGTTCCATGTTCTCGGGCTACCTCATGGCTGCGGTCTACAATCTCAGTGGCGTCCACGGATGGAAGGGCTGGCAGTGGCTCTTCATTGTCGATACCGTCATTTCTCTGCCAATTGCTATTGCCGGGTTCTTCTTCCTGCCTGACGTACCTGAAATCACGAAAGCTTGGTGGTTGACCAAGGATGATGTGGCTCTTGCGCAGAAGCGGATGCAGCTTGAAGGCAGAGCGAATCGACAGCCATTCACAAAGGCCAAGATTAAGAAAATTTTCACGAGTTGGCACATTTACGCTCTCACGGTGCTGTATATCTTCTTCAACAACGGTTGCGGAATCATGAGTCAGCCTGCGTTCCAATTGTGGTTGAAGGGAGAGGGATACTCTGTCAAGGAGTACAACACATATCCAACGATAACATCCGCCATCACGGTGATAACGACATGGATCTACGCCTGGTCCTCGGACTCAGTCTTCAAGGGCGAGAGATGGCCGCCGATAGTCTTCTCTGGGACACTCAATATTGTGATCTACTCGAGTTTAGCGGCGTGGAACATTTCCGATTCCTGGAAGTGGGGTTGTTTCCTACTCGTAGGATTCGGCGGTGGCATCAGCGGGTTGACGTTTGCATGGGCCCATGAGATTTGCAAAGACGATAACGAAGAGCGGGCGCTCGTAACGGGCTCGATGAATCAGATGGCATACGTTTTCCAGGCGTGGCTGCCGCTGCTTATTTGGCAGCAAGTCGAGGCTCCTCGGTATCCGAAGGGTTACATCACGATGATCTTCTTTGCTGTTGGTATGGCGGGCACTTCTTTCTTGATCAGGTTCCTACATCGTCGGGAAGTGGGGAAAAAGCTCTCGGTACCCGCTGCTTAAGGAGACAACGACGAATTGTCAAGCCATGTATTGTGTTTGGTGGTACCAATAACGTCGCTCTGCAATCCTGTTCAGAACAGCATCCTAGGTCTAGTCATCATGATAAACTCTAACATACTGGATTGCATGAAAATTCGATGAGTAGACCCCACTCCATATCGGTCTTCTCATAAACTGCACGTAAGATCACACGCGATGCGTGGCTAGATGACCCTGAATCGTTATTGACAGTAGGTACCAATACTATTCTAGTCCGTTTTAATTGTATCTAACTCTTGATACAATTCCTTCTTCACTTCTTCGCTAGCCCAACAAATATCAACTCCATTTCTGGCCAGCTTAACCATATCCTTCTTACTAAACCCACAGTAGGTATACGCCTTCTGCATGTTCCCATCCACCCAAACATCATGCATGTACACCGGGTCATCGCTGTTGATATTGAACTTGACACCCCTCTCCCACAACGTCCGAATCTTGGGAAACAGCACCTCCGTCGCCGTCCGCCGGTGATACGCGTGAGGACACAACGTCAAGCCGATACTCCGATCCAACAATCCCTGCAGCAGTTCCTCCTTATCCGCCGCATCAAGCCCGTGATCAATACGCTCCGCCCCAGCGCCATCACAGACTTCAAAAATCGCCTCGTGGACGTGCTCAAACGTGTCCTTTTGCCCGAAATCACAGTG